TTCCCGCTTTGCTTGGGGTTGAATGCTTAAAAAACAACAAACAAAAAAAAAAAAAAAAAAAAAACAGTTCTATACACTCTGTGTCCCAAAAAGAAAACACTTGTCCGAACACAAGAAAAATTAAATAAAAAGCTTAATCGTATTACCTTGTCTGTCGTTTTTAATGAAACATACATAAATGAGGGATTGCTGCCTAAATACACAACACACACACACACACACACACACACACACACACATACATACATACATACATATATATATATATATATATATATATATATATAGTGAGAGAGAGTATAAAATATTAAATATATGCGCAATACATCAGAGATAGAAAATAGATATGACAAAGGTGAACGTGGATATATATATATATATATATATATATATATATATATATATATATATATATATATAGGGGAGAGAGTATAAAATATTAAATATATGCGCAATACATCAGAGATAGAAAATAGATATGACTAGGTGAACGTGGATATATATATATATATATATATATATATATATATATATATATATATATATGGGAGAGAGTATAAAATATTAAATATATGCGCAATACATCAGAGATAGAAAATAGATATGACTAGGTGAACGTGGATATATATATATATATATATATATATATATATATAGTGGGAGAGAGTATAAAATATTAAATATATGCGCAATACATCAGAGATAGAAAATAGATATGACTAGGTGAACGTGGATATATATATATATATATATATATATATATATATATAGTGGGAGAGTATAAAATATTAAATATATGCGCAATACATCAGAGAAAGAAAATAGATATGACTAGGTGAACGTGGATATATATATATATATATATATATATATATATATATATATATATATATATATATATATAGTGGGAGAGAGTATAAAATATTAAATATATATGCAATACATCAGAGATAGAAAATAGATATGACTAGGTGAACGTGGATATATATATATATATATATATATATATATATATATATATATATATATATATATACACTACGAATGAAAGTAGGAAGCAGGAAAATAAAATGAATGTGTTAGATATATAGTTTTGAAACCAATGAGATATATAAAGAAATTGGACGAGAAGTCATGTCTTTTTGTTGTGTTGTTAGTGATAACATTTTGAATTCTATAAGAGATAATATTTACGTATAAATTTTACATAGACATGTGACAACGAAAAGTATACGCAGTGGGCGCTGAACGTAGAGATAAGTAGTTGACTGGCGTTACAACACATTGATAATGTGTGTATTCTTAATAATTGTCGCATTGAAATGGCCTTGTGCCAGACTAGCCTAAGCTAAAAGAAACAAAAAAGTAAGCGTTTCTTTGCCACTTACATGACAGACAGCTCTAATCAGCTGTACGTATCGACTGAATAAAAATACCCGTCTTTTTTTGTGGGGGCAACTCTCAGTATAGAAATGGAAATAAAAGACGCTTCGCTCTTTAGCTTCGGTTGACAACCAATCGAGGAGAAGGAAATCTCTGAATTCCGAACCAAGAGTAGAATCCATTCTTCCAGGAATGGGTAAAAATCTGATTGCTAATTCCTAGTCCGTGGGTACAACCACACACATTTAAGGAAAGGTCTCCGATAGAAATCCCTCGCCAATCTGCAGGACAAAAGTACAGCAAGCGCGAAACATTTAATCTTAAAAATGTCATATAATGCCTCTTCAAATATTCCGTTTCTTCATTATCTGTGAATTCATAAGATTGATTGATTTGTTTTTTTAACGGCATATCAACTCCTTCATGGGTCATTTAAAGCCGAAATTTAATTTTCTTCGAAGCCGTGAAATAATAAAATGATGATATACGTTATTCTGCTTTCGTAATTGAATACATGGTAGATGATACTCAGCTTTTGTGTATATACATGTTTCTGTGGACATAATTACTAGAGGCGGTGATATGTGTAATTTATGTTGCAGTTTTGTTGAAGTTATATTTTGGAATAAAGTTACGAGTTCTTTAAGAAATTGTAGGATATTATATGGATGAATGACATGAAAGAATTCTTTCATATTGGTTGTTTCGTTGATTTTGTTTAGCGCCATATCAATACCTCTATGGGTTATTTAACACACACACACACACATATATATATATATATATATATATATATATATATATATATATATATATATATATGGTCTAAAAAAAGATTATTCAAAATTTCTGCCAAAAGAATTAAAAAACAACCTAATATAGTCATCAGAAAAGCTGATAAATCCAATATTTACGTAATTTTGGATAAATTGAATTATCACAAAAAACTTCAGAATCTTATTGATGATCGTTCTAAATTTACTAAATTGAATAAGAACACCACAGAATCTCTAAAGAAATATGTTATTAAACTCATGACATCCAACAATGCTGTTGCAGGATGCCTAAAATAAACAAAATTATTGGAGATTACCAACCTGGCTACTTATATGCTAATGTTAAAATACACAAACCGGGATGCCCATTACAACCTATTATTTCTCAGATTCCAACATGCATACACCAACTATCAAAATTTCTCAATGATATTATTACCCCATATCTCTCTACTAACTATAGCATTAAATCTACCCATGAATTCCTCTAAATACTCAAAAGCACAAAAATTAAAAACAAATCACGGCATTCTTGCGTCACTTGACGTAGAGAATTTATTTACTAACGTTCCCATCTCCGAAACTATTGATATTATCATTAATTCGGTGTATAAAAATATTTAATTCCACCTCAATCAACCCAATCCAATATTTTAAGAAAACTATTGCTCGCTTGCACCACTAGAGTTCCTTTTTATAGCCAGAATGGTACTATTTACACACAAACCGATGGAGTAAGTATGGGAAAACCTCTCGAGCCGTGCTTCTCCAATTATTATATGTCCTATGTTGAAAACAAGGTTTTTACTAAAGTTATTAAACCTAAAATATATGTTCGTTATGTAGACGATAAATTTATTTTAGCTGAAAACAAGAAAGAAATAGAAAATCTGAAAGCTACATTTCAACAAAATTCCGTCCTAAATTTTACTTATGAACTTAGTGAAAAAAAATTAACTTCCTTTCTTAGATGTTCTCGTCGATTTTAGTAATAATACTTTTAAAACTTCTGTTTATAAAAAAAAAACAACTAGTAAAGACTCTTTCCATCTTAATTTCTCTAGTGAATGTCCTCTTAGATATAAAATAGGTGTTATTAAAAATTTCCTCACGAGAACTCATCCTCTCGCACGCTTTTCTTTAAAGAGTTAATGTAAAACTAACACTGATTAATAAGGGATTTCCTAATCAATTGTTGGATTTCCACATTAGGCGTTTCTTGTCTAAGGTAGCTAATAGCAACGGCGAGAATAAAAACATAAACAATAATATTAATATTTTTTATAAAAATCAGATGAACGAAAATTATAAACAGGATGAATGCAGAATTAAGAACATTATAAAAAATGCATAACACCAGTTGACAATAGCAAAAATATTAGATTAATTATTTATTATAAAAAATTAAAACCTCTAACCTAATAGTTAACAATAATAATTCACCTCCTAGAACAAAATTAAATAGGGCAAATATTATTTACGAATTTAAATGCCCATTAACTAATCAATCAAAGTTTGTAAATAATTATATAGACCACACTACAACATGTTTGACACGCAGACTCACTCTACACCTTTCTGACCGTAGCTCAATTAGATCTCATTTAAATATTCATGGAGACCTACTGGACACTATTCGTAACATACTTGTTGACAACACAAATATAATAGCATCATCTACATGCAAAAAAGGCTAAAAATAACGGAAGCCTTATAAATAAAAACAAAAAAACAAAAACAAGACTCAATAATATCAACTCTGAACATGGACACAATATCTTGTAAATGAAAACCTTATATAAATACATACATGCAACAAACTATTTCTTGTTAACAGTTAAACCTTGAAAATGGGTAAATGTATAGCCGAAAGCGCTTGGATAAAAAGAACAATTGGACAGTTTTTATATAATTTATCATCTGAAAAGAAAAAAATATTAGATCACATAAGAAATTGTATAAAAAAACTAAATCAAAGCACCTTGTCTGTCTTATTCTATGAAATATGCATGAAAGAAGGATTGTTGCCTAAATACACAAAATTCATACATATATACATACATACATATATATATATATATATATATATATATATATATATATATATATATATATATTCGCGTGCGTCTATCCTGATTAAAAACATTGATAATAAATTGCTTTGGTAAGTTTCATTCCAAGGGGGCGTGAATGTTATGTTTTCAAAAAAAATAAATGCAGCAGAAAAATGTTTTCATAACACCAAATTAATTAAATATTTCCCAAGCTATTCCAAATAATGAGTAATTAGAAAACTTGGGATTTATTATTAAAAGAGATGAAAATTGTTTTCTATTTTCATAAAGAAGCAAAGAAGATCTCTGGGAAATAATGAAAAAAAAAAAAACAAACTGTTGCACTTAATATAATCTGGCATCTCGGCTTCAGTCACTTTCCCACCGCCATAACGCAGCTTTCTCTTGTCTTTCCTGTAAATACTTTCATGGTAATTGTTCCGATGAATTTACCACTACAGTATCGAGATTTTATGAATTTAAGCGCATTACTAGATTGGCGGTTATGTCTCATCTTTTTACATTTGAAATGGCTAGATGTAACCGTAAGTTCTATGCTAACAGTTACTTCTCTCGCACTTCTCAATTGTGGAACTTTCTTCCGGATTCTTGCTTTCCATTCAACTTCGATTTTCAAAAATTTAAATGCAATGTCAATCGTTAACTTCTGTTTTTGGGGAGATATAACAGAAACTTTTCAATAGTGAATATAATGAACCGAATTGGAAATCAGTTCTCCGATGAACAATTCCGAGTCATTATCGATTACACCATCCGCACATCCAAGCTTACAGCACCTGCTATTCCCAAGCGGTCACCGATCTAAGTACTGATCAGGCTAGACATTGCTTAACTTCAGTGATCGTACGGAAACCAGTATTTCAACGTGATGTGGCCGTAAGCACTCGTATTGCATTGGTTAGTAAGAAGTTCCACTCATTTTCTTCCCCAGAAATGTCACTTTGTGGAACAGACTCCAGAAGGGATGCTTTCCCGATCACTATCATATTAACGCCTTCAAGTCAAGGGTCAACCGTTATCTATCCTACATATCCTCATAATATCCACTTCTTATTTCTCCCCTTTACGCCCTACCTTAGCAACCTCATTCAATAATTATCTACTTTGATTATTGTGTCTTGTATTAGGGGAACAATAGCATAATAAAAAGAAAAGGGTTTCACCAAAGGTTCGAAAAGTTAATATTGCAAGCCACAGGTAGTGAGTTTGAGCCTTTCTGAGGTATAAGTACTAATATCCTCATCTTTGTTGTTACTATGTTCAGTCATAGTGCTCTCCGGTCTTCTTTTCACGAAATTTCGAACAGAACCCTTTATTTAATCTATGGGCATAGATTGTTCTTTAGTTATTGCGAGTCCTGTTTCAACTAAATCTGAACCAGTACTACCAGACTCGGGATCGAACTCACAATTACGGTGCCGCCGAATTCACTAACCAAAACTTTAATCCTCTTTGTTATAAAGCGGAACAAGAACGTCATACTCCCGTAGATTAAATAAAATGCTGAGTCTGAAATTCTCCGAAGTTTACCCAGATTGAGAAAGAGAGTTAAAGAAGACTTGGGGGTGCACAATGGCCAAAACGTTGTGATAATAACAACAAAGATGAGGACAATAGTCTGGATGTAAATAACGATTAGAAATTCAGATAAAAACTTTCACTGTCCGAAACTTAGTTACGTCCAACCATATGTAAATATGTGTTTAGTCTAATCGAATGGATCAAGTTACGGGAAAAGTCAATGATGGAGATAAGTACGAAAGAAAATACTGCCAAAGTCCGTAACCAATATGGTTAGCATACTGTTTACCCGTTCGTTTCCCATCTGTTGGACTTCCACATAAATTTGCACATGAACTGAACACGCTACATATTTACAAACAGCTTGTATAGATTTTAAACTGGCATTTATTAAGCTACTAGCTTAAAAGCCACCCTTAAAGCGGGATTTAACCTAACTCCTGCAGAGGGCTCTTAATTGGGTCTTTGGCAGGAGTTTGAGAGTCCCTATGTCTTTGCATATTCTCAGTATTGGAAGCTCTCCTGGCTTCTGTTTGATCTGGGTTTTTATTTGCACGGGTCATTCTTCTCCTCGCTGCAGCCTTGGCTCTTTTGATTGCAATCTGGTCCTCTATTGGCGGAAATTTCTTTTTGCGAGACATATTGCTGCCATATGCGATAGGCAACAATAAACTACAGAAAAACTCAAAATTTATCGATGTATTTAAATATTGCTTTAATATTTAAGCTTACATTTTAAAGGTTCAACAATAATTCAACGTCACTTAATTTAAAGACAACTTGATGTACGTAGGTCCTTACTTTCCGTACAAACAATTATTTTTATTTAATGGGTGATTTTCGCTGAATTTCGCAATTAATTAAAATTATTTTCAAGTTATAAAAATTGTTATCGTATAAAAAAATTTTCCGCAAAAAATTACGTAAAAAATCGGCGAAAACAATCGCAGTTGATATGTTGGGTTTCGGCCTCTAGGAGTAAACTTGAAAAAGTGAGACACACTGACACACTGATATTCGCATTTATTTATATAGATGTTTACATTGTTATTTACTAAGTATAGCTTAGTGGTGATAACGTTGGTGTTCCGAATACGAGACTTGGGTTCAAATCTCACCAGGGTCGATTTGTAATAAGTGACAGAATGACCGCAGATTTGTGATCTTCTTAATCCTCAACGATTCTGTAGCCGAACTGTCCACGAAACATAGGCGCATAATTCCAGGATTATCAACACCTTGCAGGTTATTTAAAGCCAGAAAACATTTTTACATTGTAAGATTTTTTTCTTTTAGATAATAATGGTTTTAGTGCTACAAGTCTTACTAATTAACCCATAGCTGGTAGGAGAAGAGATGGATTCATACTTTTCTCAAGAGTATTTGCGCGTAAGTGAATATAACGAACTCAACTGGAATTCGAACTCGGCTCTCCGATTAACAAATTAAAAGCAAGTATCCGCACATCCATACTTACAGCACCTGGTAATCTCAAGCAGTCACTCATCTAGATACTGACCAGGTTCGACGTTGATTGTAAGCGAACCGGTGTTTCAAAGTGATTGATCTTAATTCAATTCTCACTAGAAGCATCTTTATTTCTGATTCTGCACTGTTTATACCGCGGTCGAAGATGCTAACGACCTAGCTTTATAAGATTACCATTCGTCCGTGCGTTGAATATTGCTGTTAATCTGGTCTGGTGCTTTTGCTATCTATCTAGTGATTCTTGACAAAATGCAAACAAGAATCTGCATCATTAATGGTCATGACCTGGCATCTCGGCTTCAGTCACTTTTCCACTACCGCATCGTATTTCCTATAAATATTTCTGTGGCGATTGTTTTGATGAGTTTTTTTTTTTTGTACATCGACATTATGAATTTAAGCGTAGTACCAGATTGGCAGTTAGATCTCAACATTTTTCTGTGTAAGTTATATGCTAATGGTTTCTTCTTTCGCACGTTTGTGGAACCCTCTTCCGGCTTTTTGCCTCTCTATTAACTACGCTCTTCAAAAATTTAAATGAAACGTCAATCGTCATCTTCCCCTCTCCCTGAATCATGTATTTTTCCTTCGATAATGTTTCCTCGTTTTCCTCCACTCTCACTAATTCCTTGTGTCTTAGTGACTTGCTTCTGCTTAGAGTGAAATTATTAAAAAAAACAAAGAAGCAATTAATTAGGGATGGTAAGCTTTTTGTCTATTCCACAAGCATCGCATTTGAACTGAATGTCATTTAAACTCTACTCGCTATCAATATTAACACTCCATTGGTTATCTTCAGACTTCTATCGCCATTCCATGAGAATGACCAACGACGTTAAGCTATCTTGCCTTTACTTAGTTTCGTGGATATTACATCCAGTCATTAAGAGACTTGATTCTAAATTATGACCTTACATTCAACTCTCCTGATGAGTGGATACAATCTTCACGAATTATTGATTAGAGAGAAGATAAGTCAGAATTTAATTATATATATATATATATATATATATATATATATATATACTATTTACATTATTCGGACTATTGTCCTCATCTTTGTCGCCATATTTATTACAACGTTTCGGCTGTTGTACGCTCCGGCCTTCTTCAGGTGGTTGGAATATCGAACTGAACCCTTTATTTCGCTCATTGGGGTAGACTGTTCTAGTTCCACGTGTCATGTTTTAACAGATGTCAGTTATCAGTTATCTCTTGTTAATTCCTCTCTCCAACTCACACTCTTTGGGTCCTGTCACTGGATCTAACCAACGCCTTTATCCACTGTGCCATGTGTCCTCAAGAGTGAGTTCAATACCCGGTTAAGGCAATGGAGAAGTTGGAGAGAGGAATTAACAAGAGATAACTGATAACTGACATCCATTAAACATGGCACGTGGAACTAAAACAGTTTACGCCAGTAAGCGAAATAAAAGGTTCAGTTCGACATTCCAACCACCTGAAGAAGGCTGGAGCGTACAATGGCCGACACATTGTAATAAATATGGCGACAAAGATGAGGACAATAGTCCGAATAATGTAAATAGTGTACATAATACCTCATCGCAGAAATATATATATATATATATATATATATATATATATATATATATATATATATATATATATATATGTATGTGTGTGTGTGTGTAAAAATTCAGATATAAAATATATCTGTAAAAGGACAATATCAATAGAGACAAAAAGAAAAATATTCTTTACCAACGCGTTTCGTCGTCTGATGGACTTTATCGAAGCAAATGTAAGAATTTTATTGTGCGATATGCTCCCAGAAAAAAAAAAGTTTCTATGAATACAAAAACTATCTTAGACGTAACAATTTATCAAATGCATTAAGCATATACAGAAATAAGTTCAGCCACAACTTCGATCTAAATTATACCACACTTATTAAAAGAGACAGATCCTGAGAGTGCTCCTACCGTATTTAGCCAAAATGTTAACCTGCACTCCGAATTTTTTCAAATATCTCTTCCTAAAAGAAATACTCCTTTCCCAAGTCAACGCATATGACCATATTTTTTTAAATTAAAAGAAAACGGCTAAATCAAAACCGTTGATAATTTAAAATAAATAAATACATAAACAATTTATGAAATTAACATAAAAGTATAAAAAAATTCAACGAAACAATAACATTTACTCATTTTCCTTTATTAGGTATTAAATTATATCACTTAGCAGCCTCCATAGTTTACCTTAACTTTTACAATTAGCCTTAATTAATTTTTAAAATTTTGAAAACATAACGATATTTTTACTTGTATTTATAAATACATATTTTGAAATAAAATCCTTACAGAGAACGAAACATGTTTGTAAATAAATGTTTTCCTTCTCTCTCTCTCTCTCTCTCTCTAGAGAGAGAGAGAGAGAGAAAGAGATAGATATAAAGTAATGCGTTATGGTTTAATTTCACTGCTCTGGAAAAAGTATAATCAGCGAACAGTTCAAATTCTGTCTTCGACATTTTGTATTCATTTTTCCTTTGTAAACTTCAGGAATCTTTTGCTCTCTCAGATATAATTTAAATAGTAGGGTAGACTGGGCTTTGTAGCCTTGGCCAGTAACAAGTCTATGAAAAGGAAAACACTTGATTTTCTTACCGTGAGGGAGAAAACGGGAACCTCTTCATTTTTACGAAGAACAATTATGGCAATACACAATTTACTGATATGAAAATAAAAATGAAGCTATGGAGAGCCATGACCGCAGACTTCCTGATTGGTACTTGAGAAGGAGGAAATCCACACCCAGAATAATAATTTTAATTTAATACTTTTTATTTTTGGTCAATCTTGAAAAAGCCAAAATTTATGGTAATTACGAACTGGAATTGCGAGTATTTGC